GATCACCGCCTGTAGCGAACGCAGTTTTTCTTGAAAAAGAGCCAATCGCAACCCACACTTGCGCACGCACCCCTACCTGGAGCAGGTTCCTCGTATGACGTTGTTGTTTTATGCTGTCGATGGGAAAGGGGGGATACTAGATTCGCGCGCGTAATAGTTCACTCCTTCGGTGTGCTGCTTCGGCAAGTTTTTTTGTTTTTTCTTCCGCAGTTTTGTACCATGTTATTTCGTCGCCAAGTTTGTTATTATTGTCTTGTCTTCTTGCTTTTTCCGGGGGGAACTGCTAGCAACATTTTTTTTCCCGTATTTTTTTCTTGAAAGTGTACAGTAGGTTTAATTTTTGAGGTTGGCTCCTTGATTTGGACCGCCCTTGTCGTCGTCTGTTGACCGTCGCAGGGGCGTCCTGCTCCCTGTCTCTGTCTCCATCTCTGTCTCTCTCTCGCCCCCCCGCTTGCTGCTTACCGACGGTTCTTTTGTATCATTTTTGTCTGTGGCTCGTAGTCAGTCGTCGGTTCTTTCTCTGTACTCGTATTATTTCCCCCCCCCTCGCATTTTCAGCGAACAACGAGTCTTGGTGTGTATGCTACTACTCCCCGCCCGGGAGCAACAAAGCAAAGCGCGAGGCCGTTTCTCGCTTCGCCAAGGCCAGCGAGGGTGCGGGGTGTGCGGAGAGAGACATTTGAAAAGAGCGGAGAAGTTAGGATGTTTCCTGTCGTTGTTCTCGTTTTGGTTTGGCACACGCCCGCCGGTCCCCATCCATGCGGAGAGGATGATGCCGGCGAGAGCGTGCTGTCCGCCGATGGGGGTTGGGCTTTCTCAGTACGCGAGAGAGAGAGAGAGAGAGAGAGAGAGAGAGAGAGAGAGAGAGAGAGAGAGAGGGATAGTCCAGGTTGATGTAGTTGCCAGCTAAAAGACATGGGTCCACCACCTGCGGACGAAGCCTTTTTTATTTTTGTTTTCTGATGTATTCGCTCGAGGGATTGATGTGTACTGTACCCTCATCGCGCTTTGTTTTTTTCCCGCCAATGTGGGCATCAGCATGTTTTCGGGTGCTTGCGTGAGTCTTGTCTTGTGTGTCTCACACCTACCTGTCCAAATGCTGATGTTAGGTCGTCAGCCTGTCTGCCTGTCAGTCACACTTGGTATATTTTGAAAATTTTGTTCGTGCCGGCCGGTACAGCAGTGTAAGCGCATGACACACGATAGCGGGGGGCTCCGGGTGGGCGGGTGGGGGAGGAGTACAGATAGCAGTATTCTAGCGAGCGCGCAGGCTTTTTTTTGTTAGTATTGGTCGTTTTGGGCTGCATGGGCGAAAGGATACTTTTCCGTAATTCTGCGACACTTGTTGCGCAGGTTTTCTGCGGCCGAGGGAGGGTGTCTTGCGTGTTTTTTTCGTGTCCGAGGGGACGCGCGATTTGTAGCAAGAGCGGTTCCGTGGAATGTGAGCGTGGATAATATGTAGCCTGTGTTTTGTTGCATTTCCGGAAATTAGCCTCTTTTCAACGGCAGCGTGGCCAGGAAGAAACTAGGGTCTCGGTTGAAACGTTCCGGCCTGAGATGGATGGCCTTTTCAAGCCCCCCCCTTCCCCCCCCCTTCTGACGAAGAGATGTTTTGTTGTCGTTTCGTGCGCTAAAGGGTGGAAAGATCTGCATCCCCTGTAAAGATGGCTGCTTCTTGTGAGCGCAGGGGAGAGGAACCGAACAGCAGCGACGATTTAGTAGGAGGAATAAATGATTTGCCAGCGGTATGTGTGTCACATCGTCGAACACGCGTTGCCTAGTTTGTGGCCTATTATTCTTGAGGGCGGTACAGGCCGGAACAAAACATGGGACGGGACGGCGCGGTATGTAGTATGTGGAATGTGGGACATGCGGTAACCTCCCTTGTCGGACACTGGTTACCTCGTTTTTGGCCTGTTCTTCTTGAGGGTGGTACATACCGGCCGGAACGGTATGTGGCCGTGCGGTACAAAAAAAAACTCGTATGTAAGCACGGGGTGAAAGAACGCCCACATGCGTGCAATATGTAAGCCACGTTTTGTTCCCGGACGCAAAAAAGAATTAAGTAGCATACAAAGTGAGGGGTGGCGGAGTTCATTTGGAATGTACCCGCTGGATATTGTCGTGTCCTGTCTGTTTCCCAGTTCGTGCGTGCTTGCCTTGCCTTGAATATGGCACATGCCTCTCGGGAGCGCTGGTGTTTGTTTGTGCGGTGGGGGTAACACAACGAGAAGAAGGCATTTTCTTGAGCACGTGACGAAAGATACAAACCCAATCGCGCTTGGACGAAGACGTGCGTGATCGCATGAAAACGCATGCATGAAACAAAATCTTAATCTTTGCTTCCTCGTTTCCTGACTTGGGGGCAAAGGATTGGCTATATACCACATGCTCAGGGAGATAGGCGAAGGAAAGCCCGACCGGTCGCACAGCCCGCGCCCATTTTAGCTTCACGCAAGCACCCACCACGCGCCCGCCCCCCCAAAAAGCCCTGCCACCAAAAGCGGCAATCGCTGCTCAATTGATGGTCCGCACCGTCGACACGGGAAAAAACCACTAAATAGAGAAGACAACATGACTCGACCAGGGAAGACGAGCAAGTTCTCAAGCATCCACCCGCCACCCCCTCCCCAATCAAAATAAATAGAGGAACCCGTGCAATGCTCTCCAGAGGTTGGCATTAATCTCCACGAGGGGCGTAAAAAAAGTTGACATCCAACTGATCTGCTGTACACCCGGCATTTTTTTTTACTTAATAGGGAGGCAAAAAAAAGCGCACGTGACATGAAAACGTTTGAGGCCCCGTCAATCATCCTGTGTCAAAAGCGGTCAACGCACAAAAAAAAAGTCTCCCCTTTCCCGTCGTCGGCAACAACAACACACCAAAATCGAGGACTAATTCTCATCCCTCGCGGTTAGAATATATATACTGGATGGAGAAAACAACCAAACCCCTCTGTACAGAATCGGTTTCGTAATGTGCGCTGTACTTCGCAGAGACACAGTATCTAGCAAAAATCGAAAACCACCACAAAACCACCTGTTACCCTCTGCTGCCGTCAGAAAACCCCTCACTGCCGTGTCTCCCTGTCGGGGAAGCCACCACCGACGGGGGAGGGGACCGTCCATTCCCGCCCCCGCCCCCCTCCCCCCCCCCC